TTTGAAATTTTTGTGGGAGTGCCGCCCATTTGTAGCAAGCCCAGCCAATGTCACTATGTCTCCCTCATTTCATGCGCTTACTCCTATTTCCTATCGTTCCCCTTTCCTCCAGGCTTATCTGGCACACGGTTTACGAATTTTTGAAATAAGTGGCTACTGGCTAAGCGCACGTTCCGCCCGCAGATGGGCGGAGCCTAGCTTGAGACACATCATGTATGTTCGAACGGATCCAAGGCCCAGTTTCTCCCTTGCCTCTGACCCAGGGAAAGGTCCCCATAAGTCTGAATAGCAGTCTAGTCCACTGCATCTTTGGAGCATTTTCCCCCCATTGTATTGGTGCTACCATAAATGTGAAACGAAAACATTAAATCACGTCACCTAGGGTATGCGCATAGAAGTATGTGCTCGCGTGACTCACCTCAGATACCATGTGCGACCGGTTGTGGATCGCAAGGAGGCATGCGGCCAGGGCGAGCAGAGCCTCAAGCAGTTCCATAACTTAGGTGCTACCCTAAAAAAATGGTAACATGTTACTAGACATTCCATTTCCTCGCGAACGAGTAAAGAAATTACTGTAATCTTTCCAACGTGTTAGTGGGAAAGGTACGGGGTTTCTCTTTCGGGAGGCGGCAATTCCGTTAGCCGCCTTGTGCCACGACTCGAAATCTTATTCGGTAAAAACCGTGAATAGGAGAGAGCTTATACAAGTAGGATGGCGAAGTTCTTGACACGAGGAAGGGATTAAAACTAATGTCAGGTACTGCGCTCATGTACAACTTAGAGGGGAAACTTTCAAATATGGCTCTCCTCCTCTGTCATATTTCTTCTCCCAGCAGACCCCACCGAAATCAACCCCAGACGATGCCGCTTGAGCGAAGGAGCGGGTGATGGGGAGGGGCGATCTGAACAGATAAGGTTCCCGGCAAGGATTCCTCAACGTACCTTGGCCCTGATTCAAACATGAGTGAGATCGGTGCAGGCTTGCTTAGCAGGATTAGCCACAAAGACCATGAAAGGTATCAAAAAAAAATGAAAAAAATCGAGGATCAAAATGGTTGAACGTTGGTTCTGCAACAGCTGCTCCGTTAGTTAATCCAATCACACCTTACCCCGCCTTTTCCGGCCCTTTGTAGGGCCATGTCGAGCGGGTACCCCCCAAATAGGCCGTGCCCTTACAGAGACCTGGGACTGATTCGATCTGAAAGTGCGGTCAGCGGCCCGAATAAGGCACTTCTGACCTCAACAGCACAGTAATTGCTGATATACGCTGAAGCTCTGATCTGGACTGACCACGGATAGAGCAACAAAGTTCACAGCCTCTCCGGTCGATAGAAGGTGAATTTCAAACTAGCCTGATTATTTACTACTGATCAATAAGTCTTGAATTCCTTTTCTTTGCAACTAAGCAGTACCTATGAAGATACGCCATGTCCTCGACTTCCATTCGGAATTGCTAATAGATGCATGTTAACGAGTTGCAGTGCCTCTAGCCTTTCAGACGAGAGTGCTATCGCTCCAGAAGGTGGAGAAGCTTCAAGTGGGATTCAGGATTCCGTCTATGACCATGTGTGTGCGTGAAAGCCACTGCCCCACCTCGATGAAAAACCTCGTATCGCTACATTCTGAAAGGGAATTCGTGAAACTACCATGTAATGCAGTTTCTACTCCGTCTAGGAGGGGGGGGGGGGGTGATACGCGTTGTACTGCATCTATCACATTCATGAGTTCACAGGGGAGAGAGGGTACAGGACACTTTCCTCATGGGAGCTAGAGCACATCGCAGGTGGGGAACACCATCGAAGTGGGGAAGGGCGTTCGTATCTGATCGCTGGAGGGGATGGGCGTTTTACCTTTGACAAAAAGTTCCGACGGTTGATTTTTGGTTTCCCCTGTATCAAGAGTTTTTATAACTATTCCCTTTTCCCCTACCTGCTCGCGGGCAATGGGGCACCGGATTAGGGAACCTCGGAAGGGCCTCATTTCGCAAAACTTTGCCCAAACCGCATTACGTGCTCTAATGAAAGCAACTTCGAAATTATTGTCGTACAGAAGAGAAATGCACTCGGGATTCTTGTTGCGTAGTGAAGGAGGTACAAGCATTTCCTCCCCTCCCCTCTCTTGTTTCCAGCAGCACAAGGAGAATCCAACCAACATCGCCTTCGAGCTCAAGATGGGCTATGGTATTGGGACCAACCTAACGCAAGCTGTGTAATTTTTGCCCTTGAGACGTTCGCTCTCAGGTGTCAGAAACTGTCGCGCTCCAACGATGGAAGGCAGCAATCGTCCAGCCGAACAACGTCGCTGTGATTCATGCACAATTTGTTCTTCATGGCTCGAGCCTCTCAGCAAAGCTGATGGTCAGCAACTCTCACATCTGGGAGGTCAGTTTACGGTTTTTGAAGAAACAGGGGTTGAGTGCAGTATTCGAGACAACTATACAGGCTCCACTCACCAGGGTCCACTTACCGGTAGTATCCCCACCCAAAGCAGTTTTAAGGGCAGAGTCTATGACCGGGGTGTTTTTTTCCCTTCACGATATAAACCTTTGCGGGAATCACAACGGATAGGGTAGTATTCGGCTGCTGGGGGAAAGGAATTATTTGAGTACTGGAAAGTGGAGTAGTGAATTTGAGAAAAATTTCTCCGATTCTTGATTTTCCTGCTTCGAGGTGGCCATAAATATTGCTCGCTCGCCTTGAGGTTCAGTTTCACTTGTCGGAGAAATGTTAGCGTATTGAAACAGGAAAACCCGAGAAATTCATTGAACGAAAACATTTTTCTCCTATACGAAGACGTCTTCCTACCTCCAGGCGACCAAATACACTCGTCTTTCCACCCCCCCCCCACTGAGAAGCCAACCTGTGACGGCCCTGATTTATCAAACAATATATAACCCACCTGACGGATCCTGCCGTGGGGAAGAGCAGGGGAGGGGTGGTGGTCGTCGCATTCACGAGAAACTTTTTCGGTGCCATGTAAGCTCGCCAAGGGAGGGAGGTCTTTCAGGTTGTGGCGCGCTTTTTGGAAATGGTTTGTTCTTGCTTGTTGTAGGGGTCTCCACAAGGATCTTAAAAATGGGTTTCATTTTTGCTATGCGTTTCTGGGGAGGTCAAAAACTGAGTGAAAAAATTTGACAAGAATGGGCGATTTTAACTATCTTAATAGCTCCCTCCGTTCTGATTGTAAAACTTAAAGAGGCAAGCATAGCTTATGAGGTGCCCTTTAATTAGGCTTTGGAAATGGTTTCAAATAAAGTCAAAATGTAAGTGTCATGTAGTAATACACTGGGCATGCACCGACGCAACAGTGTTTGTCTTTGTCTGCGGTCCTCTCACGCTCACTGTCGGCGGATCGGATGGCGCAGCGGATAACTCGAAGGATTCTGGATGGGACGACGATACGATACTTCATTTGAACTATTTTCGAAGCATAATTAACGAGCACCTCATAAACTATGAGTTGCCCAAAGTTACATCAGAACGGAGTCCATCCAAGATAGGTTACAAAAATGAAACCCATTTTTGTGATCCTTGTATGGACCCCTACAACAAGCAACAAACCATTTCCGAAAAGCGCCGCCACGACCTGAAAGACCTCCTTGTGTCAGTACGAGTCTTCCGATCGAATCATATGCTCCTTCGCGCTCTTTCAAGAATCCGCCTCCAAGATACGCACACTTCGACAACCACCATCTTCCATGAATACTGAGCAACGCCGGTTCAAAAAAAAAAGAGAAACGAGAAATATAGGTGCGTCCTTGTCTCCAGAGTCAATCAGTTCAATCAGCTGAAAAAGGCTTCTGGGCTCGCGAAGTTACAGTGTTGTTCGCTGCGAGGTGAGGACGTTTAGAGAAGCGGGTCGGGTGGCGCTCACCCTTTCCTTTCTGCGCGCCCTGATGAGAAGGCTGTATCCCTAGGTATAAGCGTTATCAGTTCGTTTTGCCCACAATTGTTTGGCCCGCTCACCCGCTTCGCAACGGCTTCGGAAACGGATAGCGGCGCGCCTAAACTCAGCTTCACTCACAGCACATCAATCTCACCATGTGAGACTGTGCGCATTTTCAACTCCTTAGTCCCTGAAAAATCTTTTCCTACATCCGGCTGCGTCGTTTCGACTGACAAGTAAACCTGCGTAGAAACACACTTTTGAAAATAGTTAACATAAATACGTACTCATACGGTATTTATTATCTTATCTGTACTCTTGTTTCATTAATAGCAACAATAAACAATAACAAAGTGACATCCAAATTCAGATGGTCGCATTTGAGGCGACCGACCTTATACGCGCGCGGTTGCACTGCGGCGCTATACGTCACGTCACTGCGCAAACCGCGTGCGTCTCAGACCAACTAATACATATTTGATGAAATGCGGCAAATAACCTGTTTAACAACTCTTTTTACTCACTATTAACTGAACACTCATTTCACGACAGCAAGACGTGGGTTATGGGACTTAAATAGGAACAGGAGGAGAAACTACCGCAAATGGCCCTAACAACCCCCAAATATGACCCAATCCCCCCCCCCAAATATGGTGATATCGTGCGAGTTTACGGCAGAAAAGTACTGAGCGAGATATTAGATAACGAAGGACGAGAAAGCAGTCAGTCGAGTAAGACCGCATTATTCAGCAATCTCGTGCGTCTCGCGCCGTTGAAGGTCATGTTTGGAAGGGGCCGAGACATTCACAGAAGAAACGACTTCGGTGGCGATCCTTTCCGTGCACTTTTATAGCTACGACAAACAGTAATTCATCAGCAGTTATGACACGATCCCACGGTATACAAGAGGGTATCCACTCTAGGGACGGTTGCCAAAATGAGGCTTCAATGTGCACGTTTTATACATCACTTACAGACTTTATAGATGGAGAAAACTACCGGTAATTTCTCAGTTCTCTATAATCTCCCGGTTTTCCGCGGCCTCGCTCTCTTTCACTCCTTTAGCTGGACGTGCCCATTTGTTTGTCCTACCGCCACGCTGCTGCTGTTTCCTGTTAGTACCACGTCTTGCTGAAGATGAGGGCGTAGATTTTTGGCGGGATTTTTATGCCCTTGCACGACGACTGCTGCATACTGAAACCAATGTCCTTAGTGTATTTGTTGATCTAATCAATAAAAGTTTCAAATAGAGCGAAAACTCGCTGACCTCATACATTGGAGTTCAACTGGATAGGGATCGCGTGAAAGCATGATGAAGATTGCTGGAGTGTCGAGGGTGACTTTTAACCTGAATCGGAGTAAAAGCGTCTGAGTCCTAAGAGCGACGGATAGGGCGTGGTCATTGGGAGCGTTGCAGTTGCACAGCGGTCCTTGCCTATCCTATTTAAGATGCCAGCACCCCCACAATGTCGAAAATCTAAGGCCCAGAGGAAAAAAGGACATTTCTATTCGGAGAGGCATAAAACTAACCTGTTCATTCCTTCTACTAGTGGATCCCAATATGTCACCCGCTTGGCCGTACTTAGGGCAGTCCACTGGTAGAGTTCCTCCTGGAAAAATGCGGTGTATTCCCAATAGAAACAAATGTTCCGATGCAAACGAAAGAAAAGCGGACACAGTTAGGCTTGGTGGGGGCACCCAGTGGTACTCAGTGAAGCTTGAACACGCTACTTTATAAGACCTAATAATGCCTGTGACCGATGTGGCTCACCTGACGCACCATAACGAGAGTTCGCAGTTCTCACCACGAGTTAACAATTAACATGGGCTAACGAGCATCAGCTCAAAAAAACTAGTGAAAACGCGAAATGCCCCTCTCAAGCCGATCAGCGCCGACAAGTGACATAAAGCGACGGTCATGTGTGCTGTGAGTTATGTAATGGGTTATTTGAGCAAAAAAATTATATTCAGAGAAAAACTTGCTCTAGAACCAACATGAAAACTCATTTTTCACTTTCATTTCATTTCTTTTGGAAAACTGCCTTCATCCCAACCTACCTGTCGCTTTCGTTTATAAACCTCCACAATTGAAACACATTTCTCGGCTGCATCGCCCACGCCACGAAAAATTACACGTCGGATTGTTTCGTCCTAAAACAAATTCTATAGGGCAGTCGCCATCATGGAATGAACAGGGCAGCAAAACGCGGAACATGGGCGCACGGACGCAGAGCGATCACCGTTGCACCGTTCGCACCGCAACCCAGCGAATCAGCTCGCAACTGCGTGCAGTCGATTACGCGTCGCTCGTTAAGTAGTGAGCTAGAGTAATTAGATGTAAATGAAAGTATTTCAGTGAGGCAGGATGACGTACACTCCATCTCACGGATATGGATTGGGCGTGGCTTCAAATTTCAGACGCCAGCTGCGCTTAGTGGAACATTGCCGCACTGGGACAAATGTAACCATGTCTTTGTCCAACAAGAAAGACAGGATGACTGTTGTGCCAAAAGGGAATACCCGACGGAATACGCTTTCTACACAATATTCAGACGGATACGTGACCACGCCCACTCCATCTCCGAGATATTAAGTGTAATTAAAAGCGAAAAAGGTCCAGCTTTTCAAAAAAGATTAGACAAGCAGAGAGGTAAAACATGAATATCGGAAAAAGAAAA